CATGAAATTGACCTGCTAGATGAGGGCAACAAACCATTGTTCATTTTTGCAGTAAAAATGAACAATGGTTGGTTGCCCTCATATAGCAGGTCTCAAAAATGGTTTGAGGGGCGGCGATGTCCGGCACTTATTTCGACCCTTGCATATATATATATATATATATATATTTATATATATATATATATATATATATATATATATATATATATATATATATATATATATATATATATATATATTATTTATTTATTTTTTCATTATTGAATTTCAGACAATTCTTCAAAAGAATGCAACTTTAGAAATCTTACATTTATTTATTTAATTTTATTTTATTTTTTTTTACATCTTCGCTTCCAACAAGGCTGCAAGCAACCACTAATTAGTGTAGGAAGTTATTGGAAGAGAAAAGATGAATATTGTAGAGCAAGATAACGATTGACAGACAACTTAAAAGATTGCAAATTAAATGAATCAGGAAAGCAAGATGAAGAAAGCGAATTCCAAAGAACGGATGTTCGAGGAAAAAAATTAGTGGAATAAGAGTTTTTGGAGCACTTTGGAACAGTAACAGAAAATGGATGAGACTTAATTGAATGACGAGAAACACGAGAATGAATTTTAGTAGATGGCACAAAAGACGCTAGCTCTTTAGAGCAGTGCCCATTATAGTATTTGTAGAAAAGAGAACGAGAAGCAACATTACGACGATATGACAGAGGTTGAAGGTTGGCTGCAAGAGCAGGCCCAATTATGTTTACAATGCGTTTTTGCACCTTGTCTAAAAGAGAAAGGGCATCATTAGAAGATCCGCCTTAGATATGGCAACAGTATTCATACAAGGTCGGATTTGAGATTTATAGAGATAGAGAATAGAATCCAGAGTAAGAAAGAGTCGAGCTCGATAAAGAGATGCAACTTTAGCAGATGCTAATTTTGCAACGAATTTGATATAAAGTTTCCAAGAAAGATTAGAAGTAAGAGTTAATCCTAGAAGATGAAGGGTAGATGACTGATCGAGTACATTACCATTCATAAATATAAGAAGGTCTTAATTATTGCAATAACAATTGGCTAAAAAAAAATTGAGTTTTATCTAAATTAAAGTTCACCAGCCACTGTGAGCCCCATGCTGTAGCAGAAGTGAGATCCTTATCAAGCTTAAATACCCCCTGCAAGCAATCAGAGGGAGTTGGCTTCTTATCGTGACAAGAATGGTAGTATCATTAGCGAACAATGTCACCTTAGATGTGAGAATATCTGGATGATCGTTAATGTATATATAAAGGGTATAGGGCCAAGGATTGAACCTTGAGGAACCCTTTAGGTTACTGAATAAGAAGAAGAGTGCTATCTATCACGGACAACCTTTATACTACTATTGGAAAAAAAGGATTCAATAATCTTGAAGATGTTTCCAGATATACCGTAAGCAGAAAGCTTATGGAGAAGACCAGCATGTCAAACTTTATCAAACGCTTTAGAAATGTCAAGAGCAATGGCCTTAACCTCTCCACCTTTTTCTGATGCACGATAAAACCTATCAGTTATTACTGTTAGCAAATCAGCCGTAGAACGAGAAGATCGAAATCCATATTAATGATCAGAAAGTAGGTTATGAGATGAGAGATTTAGTGTTTGTTAACTCAAGATTCAAAAACCTTGCTTATGATAGGAGGAAGACTAATGGGACGGTAGTTAGATGAATCGAATCGCTAACCATAATTTTTAAAAATAGGGATAACAGATGCTGCTTTCCAGCAGACTAGAAAACAAGACTCTGATAAGCACTTGTTAAATAATTTTGAAAGGATAGACGACAGCTCCGGAGAACACTTCTGCATGACTATAACAGGTATGTTGTCCGGGCCGCAAGCTGTAGAAGAGTCTAAGCAGGAAATCACTTTAGATACAGAAGCTAGAGTGATATGGATGTCGAGCAATGGATCAAACTGTTTGACGGCTATATCAGGTAGAACGCAACTAGTGGAGTCAAGAGATGATATTGATGAAAAGTTCTCAGCAATAAATTCATCTTTGTCTTTAGGTGAGGTGACAAAGTCTGAATTATACAAAAGAGGTGGATTTACAGACTTGCCCTTATTATTGATACTATTAAAGATTCTCCAAAAGTCACGAGAGCCTAATTTTTGTGATGAAATACGAGATTTTATGATCTGAGAATAGAGGGCTTTGACGTTAGACAAAACCATTTACAATGGTTCTTAGCAGTAATAAACAGACGCCTGTTTTCTGGAGAATTGTTTTGATGATAGATATGGAAGTAATGGTTTCGATTGGCAATTGCAGCAGCACATTGCAAGAAAAATCATGGAGAAGAGTGAGGCGTGACCTGGAATCTTCGAGAGGGAATAAAGGATTGCATGCTAGCCTGAATCCACGAAGTTATGTAAGTAGCACATTTGTCAATAGGAAGACGAAAGATTTCTATCCAGGGGCCATCACGAAGAAAATCACGGAAAGAGTCCCAGTCAGCTTTAAAGTAGTTGTAAGATGTACGATGATAGGGGGATTATGATGATAAAGAAGAATGAGATAATAGTTTTAGAGAGACCAAACCATGATCGGAGGCACCTATGGATGAGTGTAGAGAAACTGAGCACTGACTAGGATCAGAAACATGACATAAGTTGAGTAGAGAAGGTAAATGATTCGGGTTATCTGGAAAGCCAGTTGGAAAGTTGACTATATGAGTTAGGGATTGAGAAAGTTGTGGACCTTAATGCCTGCAGAGTCACTGATACTAGAGCCAAGCCGTTCAGTGTGATGAACATTGAAGTCACCGTCAACAACAATACTGACTGATGGATAAAGAGAGAGGGCTTGGTCAATATGATCAGAAATAACATCAAGAAGAGTGCAGTCTTGAGATGAGGGAGAACAATATGGAACAAAGAGAAAGGTGATATAGTGAAGTGGTGCTAAATGAAAGCACTTATAAGAGTAGTCTGTGGAATTTAAACCTAGTTTCCCTACAAACGGGTGAATTCTTACGAATGTAAATGCCCAGGCCAAGCATGTGACTATTGGAGTCTTTACGAATTAAAGGAGTTAACTTTTCGGGGAGTTATTTATTTCGCATCACCGGCAGCAGATTTTCCAGAAATTTTCCGTTATTTTACAAAAAAATCAGTCACTTGTTAACGGAAATACTGTTATTACAATGCACAGTGGGAACCAACCATTGAAATAGGTGGCCAAAAATATAATCGTTTTATTTATGTGGATATTAAGCCTTAAATGAGAAAAATAGAGACTTAATATAATATTTTTAATATTAATGTTTAACCAGCTATTAGGCGCAGCGGGGAGGGGGTGGGGCAGGGGAATCACTTAAGCACTGGGGCACCAGTTGGATTTTTCATATTTTATACTTTTAGACATTGTTTAAATAATGGATAATTTTTCAATGTACAAAATGTTCATACTTGATTCAAAATATATTAATTTGAAAAAAAAATTGCGGTGATTCAAGCACGGGATCAAAAATACTCCAAAGAGTTAGCCCCGCTTTACCCAAAATATGAGGGCAATGAGTCTAAAAACAGATTTTTGATGCTATCTTATTCTAAACTCAAATTCATTGACAGGTTTTTGCTTTCATTGGATAATCTTTTATTTTCTGAAAGTTATGATCATATAAAATTTACAAGCCTCTCATTTTGGGGATGGTGAAAACTTTATTATAGTTACTACAGTTATATCTTTCAAACTTTAACATATTAAATAATGAGAATTAGAGTCTGTTATTTTAATTTTAAATTAATAACAAATAATAATAAAACTAATAATAAAAAAAAACAAACAAATAAATAAACTTTTGGGATAATCTTGTGTCCAAACTCTTATAATTTAAACTGAATCATTGCAATTTTTTAAATATTTTATTATATACTTAATAAATTTATATAGTAGACAAACAAATATAAAGTTACACATTAAACAGATGATACAGTTTAGAACTTTTTTCTTCTACCTCTATATCTAGTTCTAGATTTTCTTCAACGTTATCAACATTTAAATATAATTCACCTAAGTCAATAATTTTATCTAATTCAAATTCAGATGAATCTTTTACTTTATCATCACTATAAACTGCTAACAAACTTTTAACTTTTTCCGGTAGGCACAATATTTTCTTACTTTTCAATCTTTTAGTGAATGAGATTGAACTAATTAGGAGATCACAAGTATGTATACCTAGAATGAAAATGTCAAGTAAGTTTATTTCTCTACTTTTTTTTCATGCAATGATGTTCACGATTAAATTTATAAAATCTCTGTCGAGATTCAACTGCTTCCTCTCTCATTAAATCAAGTGGAACTCGTAAATTAATAATAATTTCCTAGCATGAGCTTATACTTTTTGAATGGAAGCTGGGAATTTGAGCCAATCATATACCTTTAATAACTTCTTATATGTATCATTGCAGTATTTATCAATTTTTTCCGGATCATTTGGGCCTTTGCAATTATTTGCAATTAGAATGTCATGTAATCTTATAATTGCTTCATCCATTTCTAAAATTTTGCTGAGTAATAAAGGATCAGAAAAAGCTCGTGTGCATAATTTTCCGGTATTACTAGTTCCAGTAGCTGATCCACCAGCTTTTGGTTCATCAACTACCAAACCAAATTCTAAAAACATCCTATCATGTAAAATTTTTTCTCTCAAAAAATATTGTTTTTTTCAAGTTTATATGAAATATGAATAAATTCAAAAAACCTAATACAAGCATGTAGTGGCTAAATGCCATAGCACAATGCCTGCCTACTTGTAACAAATCTTTTTTTAGATTGCTCATCATGTTAGGTGTGGCGTGATAAATCGGACAACATTGTGTCGAAGAAGTCTCCGTGATGTAACTAAGATTTTTCTATCAATTAAAAGGCTAAAACTATAGTTGATAAAAACATACCTATGTCCTGAAAGGTAAACTTTATCAGCATATAAATTAAGAGTTTCTTTTTCAATTTCTTCCTTAATTTTTAATACCACTTCTTTATTCTCATTTACATACTCCAGTATAATTGGTCTACAGAATCTAATACCTTGAAACATTATGTTATTCCATAAAAGATTGTTTAAATCTGATTGTACGTGTAATCGAAGAGGTGATGTTACTGTGAGTAATAGATCCGAATCTTGAAGGTTATTTTGATTGGAATTATTAAAACGTTAATAGTATTTTTAGTGACCTGATGTTTCGTCCATACCCTGACAACTAATTAGTATTAATTCATCAAAGTCTTTCTTTTTTTCACCAAAACTTTTAAAATTTTCTTTTCCCGTAGTTTCACAAGCCTTTTGGATGTATGATCCATAAGATCCTGTAGTTTAACTTTGGCCTTTATTTCAGTAACTTTAATGGATGTTTTAAGGCGTGAGTACTCGTTTTTTTTTTCAAAAATTACTCAATAAGATGGAAACCTGCATGGTGCTTCTTTATGGGTATTTTTAGAAACACTTCCTGAAGGTTTTTTATGCAAGAAATTTACAAAAGCTTCTTCAGACGTTGTTTTCTTTCGCTATTGTATTTATTTTGTATTCTCTGACTTGAAATCTAGTAATGTATTTAAACCCACTATTTACATTTTTAAAAGTATTTACCGAAAGCTGAAAACATTGCACAATTTGTATTAAATTGATTTCCTCCATTATCTTAGTTCACAAAAGAAACTTTTTAACATCATTTAGAAATTCATGTGGTTTTGGTCGAATAGTGGGACATTAAAAGTGCACTTTAGAATTATTTTTTCTTAAATTAGTTATGCATTTTAAAACCATAAACTCATGAAGTTAAAATAAAAATTTTTCCTTTCAGTAACAACACGAAAACAAATTTATTTTGGTCTTTCATGCTTTAAAGTAGTTTGTATGTTTTTTACTTTTTGTAATGTATGAAAAAAATTATTTTTATCGAAGTTTTTTATTTGTTTAAAAAAACATCAATTTTTCAAAATTATTTAGCGCTCAAGATCGCGGATGATCGCAGCTACACTTAAGACTAAAAAATATCAAAATATGGAAAAGGTACAAATTGTAACAATTTTTCAATTCTTTATCAAAGTAAAAATTTAGTACTTTTGTGGTGAATTTTTTACTTTTAATGCTAAAAGTTTTACTACCTACTTTTTCAAGAAATTTGTTATTTTTTATTTTTAACAGTCTATACTATATTCTTTCCAATGATTTATATATTCTCAATTCTTGAATGATCTATATATTAAAAAATAATAACTACTAAAATCCAGCAATTTGAGAATTTTATCGAAAATTCATTAAAAAAACTAACTTCAAGAAGCCACTACAATTGAGCCTGCCACATTTAGAATTTCATAAATTGGAAAATTCTTAGCGATGGTATTAGTTATAAAACCCACTATCAGACATAATGATTGAACCAAGTTACTTTTCTGATTTTTGGCCATCTAATTTCCCACTGCGCAATGTCCGTAATTTATACGGAAATTTCCTTCAACACTTTTTTTCCGTAAACTTTCTGGAAAATCTGCTAGCGGAAATTTTCGTAAAAAACGCGATATTTTTTTAACAGTTCTAACCTTGAAAAATCCTCAATAAAAAAGCAAAAATTATATATAAAATACTTAAAAAAAAACAACTACTGAAAATAAATAAACTTAAAAAAATTATACAAAACTATTTGAAAGCTAAAGAAAAAAGGCAAAAAAATACTAGTCTTCATTTTTGCTTATGTGTATTTCATCTGTGTTGCTATTAATATCGCCAGTTTTTATAATTTTATGTTGTTAAGTAATGCATCATTATGTTTTAGGCTAAAATAGAGTTTTGATTAATACTTTTATCCAGTTTATATAAATAACAACCCTCAAGGTTTATTAGCTGAATTATCTTTTTGTTTTGATAGTCTTTAGTCAATAACGGATTTTTTAATTACCATGAGTCTACAACACTTAATTTCAGTGAAATTCAATTAAAAAGTCAAGTCATAGAAGAGAGAAAAATATCAATATCTTCATTCAATACCTTGGCTTTCGTAGCAAATTTCAGAGGTGCAAATGTTTAGCTTGCTTTAAGTACTACATAATAAAATACTTCGTTGTAAAGTCATTTTGATGGTCTTAAATTTCTTTGGCACACTCATTTTTATATATTTTTAGACTGTTTACTCCTGTCCCAATCTAACCAAGTGGGTTTAAAAGAAAAGGACCGCGCTGGAAACATGAGGGGGTTAAAAAGATTAGCCTTTTTTGAATTAATAGTCGGTAAGTTGGTAATGTGTTTCACTCAGCTAATCAAGTTTCATTTGCTTTTTTGTATTACATTCAAGCAATAGACTGTTTTTTATGTTTACTCGTTTTTTAGAAGTCGTAACCAGCTCGTATGAAAGGATTTCTCGACGTGAAATAGTTAATTTTATTCAAGAACGCCAAAAAACAGAGCTCGGTCGAGAAACAGAAAAGAAAGAGAAAGATGAAAAAATATTCTGTTGAACAATACTGTTGTTTTATTTATAAATTATTCTCATATGTTTAAATATATAAAAGATGTAGAAAATGCTTCTTCTTTTATATTGACTTGACATCGAAAAGAGGTTTTTTTTCTCGACATCGGAATGAGCTTTTTGTCATACTTTGTATGAAGAGCTATTATCATTTTCATTTGATAAAAACATTTTTCATATATGAAATGTAGGAATACTATAGTGTATAGGATACGAGAGTATACTAAAAAGTATGACAAAAAAGTCGTTCCAACCCCGAGAAAAAACACTTTTTTAGAAGTCCATTTTGATAAACAAAAACGTCCTAAAGACGCATTTTTTATGTCTTTTCATAATAAGATAAAGACAAAAAAGACACCTTTTTGATGTCGAAAAAAGATTTCTTTTAGATTGCATATTCGACTGAAAAAAGGCGTCTTAAAGACGCATTTTTTATGTCTTTTCATGACAAGATTAAGATAAAAAAAGACGTTTTTTCTATGTCGAAAAAAGATGTCTTTTAGATTTGCATAATCGATTAAAAAAAGACGTCTTAAGGACATCGTAAATAAGACTTTTAATGACGTCTTTTTTTCCACTGGGTAAATGGACTCTCTTATATCCAGTGAGTGGAGTTATTTTTTATTCAAGAAAAAACTTAAAGAAGAAATTTTTTCAATTGACATACTTTTAAATTATACTATGCTCTTAAATACCTAAATATCGATTTATTTTATTCAATAATAATTTAAATTTACTATTTATATACATTTATTTGAATATAACTAAAGGTTGCATTTACTACAATATTTGTAGTAAAGTGTTTATATATGTGTTCATGTGTGCATGGATATATATACATATATGTATGTGTTTATATGTATATGTGTGTATGCATGCATGTATGCATGCATAAATATATGTATGTGTGTATGTACACATGTGGGTATGAATGTATGTATGTTTGGATGTATGTATATATCTGGATATGTTGACGTGTATATGTGTGTATGTGTATATATATGTGCGTTCGCATGTGTATGTGCATATTCATAAACCTTTATACCAGAAGAGTAGCATTGTACAGATGTATCACAAAAAAGTTAATATTATTACAGATAAAAAAGAACATGAAATTACATTACAACTATTTGATCAATATTTATCAATACAATAAAGATCAATACTATAAAACGAAAAAAGTAACATCCTAATTATCTATACTTTATTGTTGACCTTGTACATATACTTCAAAATGTTCAAATACATATAACTTAAAACGATAACGAAAGAAAGTTAAGTTTCAACAGCGGTTTTCAGTGACAAGACCTTTTAAGGTCTTTTTAGAGTCTCCGCGTTCTTTATATTTATCCTTAACTTTTCCAAGTGTAATTTTTGTCTTAGTATCTTAAACGTTTGTATTTTAAATCGTGTAAAAAAGACCAAAAAAAAAAAAAAAAAAATTAAAACTGATATTATGATATGATATTATGGTTTTTATTATTAACTTCCTTTTGTTGTTGCAGTTTGATTAAAAAAAATTGAAAACGCCATTTTTTTAAAAACACGAATTCATTTACACAGTTTTAACGTTTACACTTTTTAATTAGCACAGCCTTGTTTCATTGAATATTTGCTTTTTGAACTTTTCCCGAGGAAAAAACCGCGGAAAAACCTAGAGAATTTTTTTTCTAAGTTTCTAACAATGCGCATGCGCATGTTTATTTAATTGTTGTATAAAAGTCGGTCAAGTTTTTAAGTGGGTGTGTCTTGCAACGTAGGTTTGCGAATTGGTTTGCAACTTGGTCTGCGAATACGTACTTTTTAAGAATTTATTTTTTTATAATAAGATGAAAAAAGATAAAGAACATAAAATGATCTTCCATCGATTTTGAACAAGTAAGAAATATTTTATATTTATTTCTTACTTTTAGCGAATAAGTTCGTTTTTTGCCCAAGAATAATTTAAATTTGTTAAATCGACAGTCACTATTTATTATTTGTTACAGGATTGTTAAGTTCACTATTACTATTTGTTACATCATTTTTTTATGTTATCAAGTGATGATGTTTTAAGTTACAAGTTTTTGATATGGATTTTTTAATGTGGTCAACATGTAGTTTTTATTTATCAAAATTGTTATATTGTCAACTCATTGAAATGATTAGAACTTGGTATCAAAATATAGGTGGTACACATAATGGCTTCTCACCATATGTGTATTGGGGGTACTCAGTATTTCTAAAGCTCTTATAGTATATCAACTCTTCTATTCTTTTTTTTTTGTAGTAACTCCAAACTTAATAGTGGTTGCTTGCAGCCTTGTTGGTAGTGAATAAATATATATATATATATATATATATATATATATATATATATATATATATATAATATATATATATATATATATATATATATATATATATATATATATATATATATATATATATATATATATATATATATATATATATTATATATATATATTATATATATATATATATATATATATATATATATATATATATATATATATATATATATATATATATATATATATATATATATATATATATATATATATATATATATATATATATATATATATATATATATATATATATATATATATATATATATATATATATATATATATATATATATATATATATATATATATATATATATATATTATTTGACATTTATTCAGAAACTATTAAATTATAAAAAAAAGCATTTAATTGCAAGTGTGAATTTTTTTTGTTAAGATACTGCTTATTTTATTTAATTTCTATTAAAAGTTAAATGCGATTTTAAAAATTTAAATTCATTTTAAAAGAATCTGAAACAGTTTGTAATTTTTTTTTATCATTTGCCAACTAATTCGTTAGGTAAATTATAAGTCTAATCATAGGTTAAAATATGTCTCTTCATCATAGAATAAAATGTTAAATCCATTTCTAAGAAATCCTTTTCACAAATGCATTAAATATTTTTTGTTTCTAATTAATTCAATATTGAGTAAAGTTCTTTTGCAATAATTTATTTATGAATATAAATTATGTTAAGAAATGTCTTATTGATAAAATCTATTGTTAAAGTGATTATAATGTTGTACTTAAGATCTGGAAAACTGCTCTAGTATGTGTGATAATTATGAAAGAAAACCTTAATAGCAAACTATTTCTATGATAATTGTTTGTAGAGTTACCAATCGTTGTATAATTTGTTAACAAATAATTACTAATTATTTGTTATATATATATATATATATATATAATTATTTTATATATATATATATATATATATATTATATATATATATATATATATATATATATATATATATATATATATTATTTGACATTTATTCAGAAACTATTAAATTATAAAAAAAAGCATTTAATTGCAAGTGTGAATTTTTTTTGTTAAGATACTGCTTATTTTATTTAATTTCTATTAAAAGTTAAATGCGATTTTAAAAATTTAAATTCATTTTAAAAGAATCTGAAACAGTTTGTAATTTTTTTTTATCATTTGCCAACTAATTCGTTAGGTAAATTATAAGTCTAATCATAGGTTAAAATATGTCTCTTCATCATAGAATAAAATGTTAAATCCATTTCTAAGAAATCCTTTTCACAAATGCATTAAATATTTTTTGTTTCTAATTAATTCAATATTGAGTAAAGTTCTTTTGCAATAATTTATTTATGAATATAAATTATGTTAAGAAATGTCTTATTGATAAAATCTATTGTTAAAGTGATTATAATGTTGTACTTAAGATCTGGAAAACTGCTCTAGTATGTGTGATAATTATGAAAGAAAACCTTAATAGCAAACTATTTCTATGATAATTGTTTGTAGAGTTACCAATCGTTGTATAATTTGTTAACAAATAATTACTAATTATTTGTTAAACAATTAGTTCATTTCTCTGTGTGATTTTTAAAGCATTCAACTTAATGTAAATAATTTTTAATAACCTTAAATAAGTGAACCTCTGTTGTTAATAAAAGAAAGGTGGTTGGTATTACATTTATATTAAGAAAGCTATGAATACTGTGTCTCACTCTGTTACTGTTTAGAGTTAATGTTCACAATGTTACTATATTTGGTATAACTTGCTAAATTACAACAAATTGTTTTTGAATGCGTTTGTATAATAATTTGTATTTAAACAACATTTTTGTAAATTTTGTTAATCTAAATTTAACCAAAATAATAATTTTATCTATGCTATGTAAGAAGTTGCTTAACTGTGCATTTGTATCCATTGAACATGGATAGATCCCTAGAGTGTCATTTGATACCAATATATTGTATAAAAATTTCTAATCAATTCCGATATAAAAATTTCTAATCACTTTTCTTTTATTGCAGGCAAAGTAAATTCGCAAACCTACTTTATTCAATAAAATATCATTCCCAAAAATTTATTGTTATTAAAAGTGTGGCAACAAACCAGGGTTTTTTTTACAAATTTTACTTATTCTAAAGTTTGCTTTTGTTTAAAAAGTAAACCAAAAACATGTTTTTTATTTCCGCTATATTCTCGAATATAGCTTTTGGTAAAGTTATTATCTAATCATAATATTTAATCACATCTTTCCATATAATGATATCAAACATGTTGCGTTTGATATACTTTTCAAACAAAATATTAAATAAGTATTGCTTTTGTTAATAACTATTAAACAAGTACTACTTTTGTTAAAAAAAAAACTGGTTTGTTGATTTAATGCATTTGATTATCAAACAATAATTTATGGAATATTTTCTTGTGCAAAAGAATTTATAAAGATATGGAGTCTCTATCCCAATCTTGTGGTTTGTATATATTAATTGTCTCTTATTAAAATGAATTTAAAAACAAAGTAATCAGAACCACTTTGTACTGTATTAACTTGCCATTCGTTGTTACCTAATGTAATTTTCATATTATCTGTATCACTTTATTGTATTTTTTTTTAAATGCTAATAAATTAAATAGTATGACTATTCAAAATGTAA